CATTTCGCATGCCCAATGTTTCACTGCCTCTTCACTCTAGCTGACCGTAGCACACCCAAGTCCCCCCCTTTTTGTTTAAGGTTCAGACGATCAGGTAACCCCCTCGGTTGGTATAAAACTTTTTATTCCTGGTACGGTATGGTAAAGGTCCCCATTTCCCCTTTGGGTGTGCTACAGAAGCGCTACTTCCCCTCCCGTATTTGCTACATGAGGGCCTGTTGCTTGCATGTGACTTTTCTGCACTCCTCTTACTTGTTCCATCACAACCCCTCCCCCTCCTCGCCCCCCTCCTCGCCCCTCGCTCCCCCCTGTCCCTCAGTCCCCCTGCTGGCCACGAGGAGCATCAAGGGGACTCGCTGCGGGGACGTGGGGCGGAGGCGGGTCGTCTTGGGCTCTGCAGCAACCATCAAGTGAAAAAAAGAGATGAGTATCACTCCACCATCCACCCTCGCCCTAACCGCTTTTCCGCTTGTCATTTCGCATGCCCACTGTTTCGCTGCCTCGTCTCCCTAGCTGTCCGTAGCACACCCAAGTTCCCCTCTTCTCTTTTTTAAGGTTCAGACGATCAGGTAACCCCCTCGGTTGGTATAAAAGTTTTTCCTCCTGGTACAGTACGGCAAAGGTCCCCGTTTCCCTTTTGGGTGTGCTACAGAAGCTCTACCTCCCCTCCCGTATTTGCTACACCAATGCTTGTTCCTTGCTCGTGACTTCAGTGCCCTCCCCTTGCTTGTTTGATCACAACCCTTTCCCCTTCTCGCCCGTCCGCCCTCCCTGTCCCTCAGTCCCCCTGCTGGCCGCGAGGAGCATCAAGGGGAGTCGCTGCGGGGACGTGGGGCGGAGGCGGGTCGTCTTGGGCTCTGCACTGCCCCGCACACACCATCAAAGAGATGAGTATCATTCCATCACTCACCCCCTTTCCGCTTATAAGCGTTTTTTCCGCTTGTCACTTCGCATGCTCCCTGCTTCGCTGCCTCCTCTCTCTAGCTGCCTGTAGCACTCCCAAGTCCCTTCCCCCTTTCCTTTTAATGTTCAGCTGATCAGGTAAGTAACCCCCTGGTACGATTTTTTTCTCCCTTGGTACGGTAAGGTAAAGGTCCTTCACTCCTTCACTCCCCTTGGGTGCGCTACAGCAGCTATGCCTCCCCGCTTCCGTTCGCATCTGCTCGCGCGCACTCGTCTCCCGCGGGCTGGATTGCATGTGACTCACTCCGCTGCACTCCTCCGCCTTGCTCGTCATGCTAACGCCCTCCCGCCCCTCCCTCGCCTGCCCTCCCCTCCCTGACTCACAGTGCCTGCGGATGGCAAGGACCATCGCTTTGCCTGGCGAACACTTCTCAAGGGACGTGGGGCGAGGAGGCAGCAGGCAAGGCGAGGGCAGCAGCGGAGGCAGCAGCGGTTCGCCATGGGCTCTCCAGCAACCGTCAAGTGAAAAAGGAGATGAGTATCGTTTCACCTCTCACCCTGCCTTCGCCCTTCACCGTTTTGCCGCTTGTCTTTTCGCTTGCTGCCTGTATTGCTCTCTCGTCGCTCTTGCATTGCTGCCTGTAGCACACCCAAGTCCCTCCCCCTTTTTTGAAGGTTCAGGCTTCAGGTAACCCCCTTGGTTGGTAGGTACATAACTTTTACCTCTGGTATGGTAAGGTGAAGGTATTCGACTCCCCTTGGGTGTGCGACAACAGCTGTTCTTCCCCTCCTGCATTCTCATATGGAAGACACTGCTTAAGATTCGATTGACTCCCTTTACTTGCTGTTGGTTCTAATCACCCCCCCCTCCCCCCCCTCCCCCCCCCCCCCCCTTCTTCCGCTTCCCTTCCGCCCTTTTCTCCCTGACTCTCAGTGTCCTGCTGACGTCAAGCGACATGGGGCGCGGAGGGAGCAGCAGAGGCATCAGAGGAAGCACCAGCAGAGGGAGCAGCAGCAGATGGTCCTGATGGGCTTCACCATCCAGCTGCCAAGAATAAGATAAGTGTTGTTTCAACACCCACCCTTCTTTCGCCTTCAACCGTTTTGCCGCTTGTCGTTTTGCTTGCTTCCTGTTTCACTGCCTCGTCACGCTAGCCGCCTGTAGCGCACCCAAGTCCCTCCCGTTTTTTTAGGGTTCAGACTTCAGGTAACCCCCTTGGTAGGTGCAAAGCTTTTACCCCTGGTATGGTAAGGTAAAGGTACCCCAGTCCCCTTGGGTGTGCGACAGCAGCTGTGCTTCCCCTCCTGTCTTTGCATCTGGAGTTGACTGCTTTGGATTAGACCGGTTCCCTTTCCTTGCTGTTGGTTCTAATCTCCCAACTCCCCCTCCCTTTCGCCCTTCCCTTCCTGACTCTTAGTGGCCTGCTGGCGTCAAGCGACGTGGGGGGCGGAGGGAGCAGCAGCACCAGAAGGAGCAGCAGCTGCATTGGGTCTTCTTGGACTCTCCAGCAACTAAGAAAAAGATGAGTATCGTTTTACCACCCACCCTGTTTTCGCCTTCGGCCGTTTTGCCGCTTGTTGTTTTGCTTGCTTCCTGTTTTGCTCACTCGTCGCTCTTGCTTTGCTGTCTGTAGCACACCCGGGTCCCTCCCTCTTCTTTTTTTGGGTAAGGTTCACACTTCAGGTAACCCGCTTGGTAGGTACAAAGCTTTTACCCCTGGTATGGTAAGGTAAAGGTACCCCACTTCCCTTGGGTGTGCGACAGCAGCTGTGCTTCCCCTCCCTTATTCGCATCTGGAATGGACTGCTTGTGATCCGACTGACTCTCCTTACTTGCCCTTTGACTAATCTTCCAAATCCTCCTCCCTTTCGCCCTCCCTTCCCTTACTCTCAGTGCCCTGCTGGTTTCAAGCAACGTGGGGCAGAGGAGCAGCAGAAGGAACAGCAGCAGCAGGGAAGCAGCAGAAGAGGGTCCTCCTGGGCTTCACCATCCAGCACCCAAGTAACAGATGAGTATCTCTTTACCAGTAGCTCCGCCTTCACCTTTCTTTCCGCTGGTCACGTTGCATGCTCCCTGTTTCATTGCTTCATACACTGTTGCTCGTCCATCTAGTTGCCTATGGCGCACCCAAGGCCCCCCCCTTTGGTGTGGTAAGGTGAGGTTCAGGTCCCCCCCAGTCATCCCCTTTGGTGTGGTAAGGTGAGGTTCAGGTCCCCCCCAGTCATCCCCTTGGTGTGGTAATGTGAGGTTCAGGTCCCTTTAGCCCTCCCGTTGTGTGCGCTACAGCAGCCTTGGTCGTGCGTAACTTGAATGCCTGCCTCGCTTGCAGCATGCTGGCGTCACTGAATTTGCCTCCACTGTTTCCACTCACTCACTCCCACTCCCGTCCCCTTCCCACCCCCACCACCATCCCCTCCCCCGCCCCCCCCCAGAGCAGCGGCCAGCCAGCAGCGGCCAGCTAGCAGCACACTGAGAGGACTGCAGCTGCTGCACCCACCCTCGTGCTTCAACCCGCTTCAGCTCCGCCCATCTGCACCTCACTGCACCGCACTGCAGTTAAGTGTCTCTACCTTCTCATCCCTGTTTGCCATGCTCCTTCGTCCTTCGGCTTTGTGCCACTCGATTTCTTTCTCTCATCTCGTCACTTCTTACTTGCCTTGTCAACTGCTGCTCTCCTTGCTGCTTTTGCTCCTGCTGCACTTGTTGCTCCTTGACTCACTGTCCAGTTGTCACTTACTAATCGCCTTGTCTACTCTCTCCCCTCCCCACCCCAGGAGGCTTATTGGTGACTGCTGGTGGTTGTTGGTGAGGGAAGAGTGGTGGTGGTGGTGGTGGAGAGTGGTGGAGAGTGGTGGTGGTGGTGGTGGTGGTGGTGTTGGTGGTGGTGGAGAGTGGTGGTTGGGGGGAGGCCTTGAGTCTGGATTCCAATAGCCGCACGTTTAAGGCATAATGGACGATCACCACACCCTGCGGCCGGGGGTGTGGTGTGGCTCCCCTCTTGCCACGTCGGTGAGGGTTCAGTTCTCATGGTTTCCTCTCAGCCCCACTCTGGAGGCGTGGAGAGTGGTGGAGAGTGGTGGGAAGTGGTGGTGGTGCAGTGGAGGGAGGATGCTAGTGGTGGAAAGTGTTGGTGCTGGATACGGTGGCTGGCAGGCTGGATGATTCTGTGCAATCTAATGAACGGAAGTAGAGATAATATCTGGTAAAGGTAGGAAGCCTCACATTTAGGCACTGTACAATGGCAAGTGTACGAAGTCTAGAGCATTAGAGCGTATTCCTATCCTCGTATCAAGAGAACCTCATCAAGATTGTACTTTTTGCCTGGTAAAAGTAGTGAGAGATTTTGGGTTTAGGGGAATTTTCAGTGGGAGGTTGGTATGACGCTCTCTTGATACGAGGATAGGAACACGCTCTTAACATGTGTAGGATGGCTTGAAAGTACTGTGCAGTTTAATTAACATGGCTTAAATAATTAAACAGTACTGGCAAGTTAAACAAGTAGCTACTCCTGGAATTAGGGAAAATAGTTCAGGAAGGTCAGCACAAAATTTATTGAGAGAAAAGGTGAACCATATTTACTTGGAGATTGAGAATATATATTTACCCCTACAGGATGCAACCAAATTCGAAATATCCGACTTTCTCCTAATTATGCCAAGCATACCCACTACCCGCCCACCAACTTCGACGCGTAATGTCGTGAATCTTCTACGCGGTTGCTTGCCTGCAATCCCGCTCAACGAAGGTCGTCTCTCGTACTTGTAGATTAGTGCAGTTCGCCACCTTCAGCGTGTTTAAGTTACCTTTTCTGCGAGCAGCTTGTGCGCGACTGCGGAGAACCGGTGGTTCCGATTCTGTTCGCAACCCTAATTTGAGACTCTTAAAGTGCGAGTGCGATTCGTCGCACAACCTTAACATCCTACTTCTAATCACCCGCCGTGCGACATCATCGTCCTGCGACACCAGCCGTACGGGACCGACTGTACGATCCGACCTGGTCGTACGGACCACTGTGGTCGTACGAAGCCACTGTACGAACCCTAGACCATACGAGGCCGACGGTACCGGGCAGGCAGGAGTCATGTCGATCCGCGGCATGGTGACGGGCGGCGGGGGGTGCTCCGTGCCGGGCGAGCGGCCGTCGGCGTCGACCAGCAACCCGCTCGGCGCGCTTGCGGATTCCATTCTCGGCTCCGCCGCCAAGCAGCAGGTGAGCGCACGCTCTGACGAATTTCGAGTCGGCTTATAACGAAGAATGTTCTCGCGCAGCAGTTCAGCGATGCTCTAGTGACGGCGAAGCAGCAGGAGAGCGTCGCTGTGGTTTCGCGAGCGGTCTCGCGGTGTGCGAGTCAGAGTCTCACGACGGACCCTGGCGTTGAGCTAGGCCGAGCTCCGCCCCTGATCTACGCACGCGCGCTGTGATCCCGCGTAAATAAATGCACTGCCCTCCCGCCATGCGCTGTGTCTCTTCGCTGTGCTCGCCTCGGCAGGAGAGGGTTCGCGAGCTGCCGAGCCTGGCAGGTCCGGGCCAAGCCTCGGGCAGCAACCTGTTTGGTCCGGCGGAGGCAGGAGCGGGACCGGCGATGATGCCAATGCCAGGAGCCGACATGCAGAGCACAATGGGTGGACCCATGGGGGGCATGGGGGGCATGGGCCCGTCAATCCAGGTGACTTAGCCAGAATGCTGGGTCTGAGGTGTGGGGATGGAAGCGTGTGGATCATGTTTTCAGGCGTGTGCTCCTGAGAATGCTTGCATGGTTTGAGACCTGTGCATGATTGTACACTTGTCGTTACACAGAAACTCTTTCTCGATATGGACGATTCCTCTTCCTCCCACCCCTTCCACCCCTACTTCCTCTCTCTCTTCCGCTCTCCCCTCCCTCTGTCCCGGCTCCCCCCTGCAGGCGCAGCAGTTCCTCTCCTCCTTCCATGCAGCAGGCCCGGCAGCAGCGCCACCCGATGCACAGCTAGAGGCGCTCTGGAACGAGGCTCGGCACGCCCAGGCCTTGCCGCCAGGCATGGCAGCAGGCATGGCGCCGCCAGACGCAGCAGCAGCGGCGCATTTCCGGGAGTTTGAGCAGATCTTTGGCGGCATGTCGCTGGATGGGGGTGCTGCTGCTGCCACTGGCGATGCTGCCATGCAGCCGCCTGCAAGTGAGTCATTTCCGGGAAATAGTATCTGGGAGTGGAATGGAATGGAATGGAATGGATGCCCTCGATTCGTTGCATGGCATGTTGCGCTCATGCTTTCCTCTTGCTCCTCTCTTCTACTCTATCTTCCACTCCCCTCGTCTTACCACCCTCCCCACCCTCGTTCTTCCCGTTACCCATTTCCCCAATCTCCCGTGTCCCCCCATTCTCCATCTCCCATCCCATCCCCCATCTTCCATCCCCCCACCCGCATTCCCCCGTTCCCCATTCCCCCCCCAGTCCCCGGGCTGCCCCCCCAGCAGCAGCAGGCAGTGCGCGCGCTGCTACACTCCTTCCTCTCCTCCACACAAGCAGGCGTGCCTCTCCCCGCGCACCCCCACGCGCCCCTGCCCCCCCTCGCGCACCTCTCCCCCGCGGACCGAGCCCGCATCCGCAACCGCTCCTCCATCCTCGCGCGCCACGTCTTTGCACACCAGGGGGGGGCGGGCGCGCAGGGGGAGGGCTTTGCCTCCGCGCAGGTGGCCGCGCTGCTGCGCTCCCTGGGGATAGAGGACCTGGGGGAGGGCGCAGGGGGCGCGGAGGGCGCGCTCATGGGCGCGCCTGGCCCGCTGGGGGGCAGGTTCCGCGAGTTTGAGGACTTTTGGAAGGATGCGGGGGAGGTGGCGGGTGGGGGGGGGATAGTGGCGGGTGTTGGTGGAGGGGGAGGCGCAGGAGGGTGGGTGGGGGAGTTTGAGGCGCAGCAGCAGCAGATGTGGCGGGAGGAGGGTGGAGAGAGCAGCAGTACAGGGTGGGCGGACGAATTTGCCGAGGTGGGACGGGGGACAAGCCTCAAGAGCAGGGTGTGGGTGTGGGTGTGCGGTGGTTTGTGCGGTGGGGTGTGCGGTGGTTTGTGCGGTGGGGTGTGCGGTGGGGTGTGTGGTGGGGTGCGGGAGGGTGCATGGTGGGTTGTGGGTGCGTGGTGGTACTCTCATGTGCAGCTTTCTCTCTCCCCACAGTTGCACCTCTCAGCCTCCTTGCCATCCTCTTTCCGTTGCTATCACCTCCCCATCCCATCTCCCTACCCCCATCCTCCTGCCGCCATCTCCCTGTCCCCATCCCTTTAATCTTATGTCCTTAACCCCAGCTCCCTACTTGTGCCCTTTTTCCCTGATTTTTCTCAACCTCCAACTCCTACGCACATTTCCTTGCGCCCCCATCCCCCCTGCACCCATCCCCCGACGCCCTCTTTATCCCCCTCTATCCCTCTCTATCCCTCTCGATCATTCGGTCTCACTGGCAGGACTGGCAGCAGCAGCAGCGGGCGAGGGAGGAGGCGAGGGCGGGTGGCCCTCGCAGCGAGGCGGAGAGGGTGGCAGCAAGGCAGCAGACGCGGCGTATCGTGGACACACTCGCGCAGGACCCGAACCCCAAGTTCCAGGTAGGTTTGGGATGGGACCCCACGGCATCTTTATTTCTCTCCGCAGCCCTCTGACTGTTTCTCTCATCAGGTTCTACATCCAGAGGTGACTTTTGAGGCGCCTCAAAAGTCTGTTTCTCTCATCAGGTTCCACATCCAGCCTTTGCAAGTTGGCTTGCCAACCCATGTCTGTGCTTCCCTCCCGTCGACTCTCTTCCCCTCCCCAGCAATCCAAGTTCCTGCAGTTTGTGTCCAAGATGAGTCGAGGCGAGCTGATAGCGGAGGAGGGCGGAGTGAGAGAGGTGTCGCCTGCAGAAGCAGCAGCGGCAGCAGCAACAGAGCAGTGGGCGAGCGAGTTTGAGAACCTGCACCAGCACGAGCACGTGCACTCGCATGCCATCAAGGCGGACGCTGATTGGGCCACTGAGTTCGCTGCCCGGGTAAGCTGTGAGTGGAGAGGTCGTGAGAGATCCTGCATCAGCACGAGCATGTGCATTCACATGCCAACCTGTGTCGACTCAAAGCAATCCCATGGCCCCCATGTTGCACCCACTCTCGCGCATGTGGCATGGCAGAACGAGTCATCGACATCACTGGACTCAAGGGACTGGGCGGACGAGTTTGCACAGCAGATGGCACATGCACACCCACACGGGCACACACACGCGGAGGGCGAGGGCGTGGTGGAGGATGGCGACCCCAGCGCTTGGCTCGAGTCGTACGAGCGGTATGCATGCTCTCATCCCCATAGCGCCTCATCACCATAGTACCTCATTACCATATCGCCTCATTACCATATCCCCTCATTACCATATCACATCATTACCATTCCGCCTCATTACCATTACCATTCCGCCTCATTGCCATTACCATTCCGCCTCATTAACATTACCATTCCGCCTCATTACCATTACCATTCTGCCTCATTACCATTACCATTCCGCCTCATTACCATTACCATTACCATTCCGCCTCATCATTACCATTCCGCGTCATTACCATTACCATTCCGCCTCATTACCATTACTAGATATGAGCAACGAACCGGACTTAGGTTCGGTTCGAGACTCGAACCGAACTTTTTTTCCGCCAAAAAGGTTTGCGCAAACCTTGCTGAAGTTCGCGCGAACTTTTTTGGTTTGAGTTTCAAACCTCGAACCGAACAGGTTCGAAGTTCGAAAGGGTGAAATTTGAACTGCAAGGGGTTCGAATTTCAATTTCGCCAGAAAAACCCCATCGCAAAGTCGTAGGTAGGGCTGCCATTTGAAGGCAGCCAACCCTAGACTCGTAGCAGAGCAGAGTAGATCTAGATCCAGATAACTCTAGCTCACCCATGTGTTGTAGAGTAACATGTGCATAATTTTTAAGCCTCAAACCTGAAAAGATTCGAGTTCGCTCAAACCTTAGAAGGTTTGAGCAAACCTTTAGGGTTCGCCATTGTATACTCAAACCTCAAACCCTCTTCGGTTCGGTTCGACCAACATGCAAGGTTCGAAAAGGTTTGCACAAACATGTTTGAGTTCGGTTCGTGCTCATATCTAACCATTGCCATTCCGCCTCATTACCATCACCATTCCGCCTCATTACCATTACCATTCCGCCTCATTACCGTTACCATTCCGCCTCATTACCGTTACCATTCCGCCTCATCACCATTACCATTCCGCCTCATTACCATTACCATTCCGCGTCATTACCATTACCATTCCGCCTCATTACCATTACCATTCCGCCTCATTACCATTACCATTCCGCCTCATTACCATTACCACTCCGCCTCATTACCATTACCATTCCGCCTCATTACCATTACCATTCCGCCTCATGACCATTTCGTCTCATTACCATTACCATTTTCATTTTGCCCCATTACCATTTCCATTTTCATTTTGCCTCATTACCATTACCATTTCGCCCTCTGCCATGCCATTCCCTTCCTTACTGGCAGTCACACCTTTCCCCTGCTCTCTTCCTTATTCTTCCCCACCCCCTCCTTCAATTCCTATCCCCAGGTATGTGGAGGAGCAGGCGCGGGACGAGCAGCAGCAGCAGGTGGATTGAAGGCTCTTTCCATTCGGTTTCTCAGCTCTTCCTCCTCCCCTGCGCACTCCCCTCCCTCCTCCGCTCTTCCTTCCCCCACCCCCCCTTTCACAGCTATGTGGAGGAGCAGCTGAGGGACGAGCAGCAGAGGAGGGCGGAGTCTTCCTCATCGCGCTGGCCCTACGCCTTTGCCGATAAGAACCCCTACGTGGGGCACGCCCAGCCCTTCCAGCAGGGGCAGGACCTCTTCCGGCGGTGAGTGGGGTGTGCAGTCCATCTGACTTGTAACTTAACTCAAATGTGAGATGTTTATGATGGTGCTGCTGAAGGTGCTGCTGATGGTGAGACGTTTTTCGGGGTCAAGGACTTGTCCGTTCATGATGCATTGGCGTGCTCACTCAACTCTACTCTCGCTGTCCTGCATCCCGGTGTGCCCGCGTCCACACTGAGTGCATGCATCTGTGTGTGCGTGTGCATGTGTATCGTGTGTGTGCATGTACATGTGACCCATGCGATTCACCACCCCATCCACAGCGGGCTACTGAGCGAGGCGATTCTGGCGCTGGAGGCGGAGGTGCTGCGCAACGAGGGCAACGCTGAGGCCTGGCGCCTGCTGGGCGTCTCCCACGCTGAGAACGACGATGACCGACAGGTGCGGCGCTCATGTTCTCGCACATGGGCTCCTCTTGGCTGCTCACTCACTGTGGAACATATCATTGAGAGGTGAAGGAGACTGGGTTCCTTTCCTTGACTCCTTCCATACGGAAGTGCGCATAAGTCACTCACTCATAGGAGCTGTTGTAGTGCACCCTTGTCCCCCACTACTGATGAGGTGGAGAGGGGGAAGAGACATGCCATCCTCCATCCTTATTCCCATGCCATCCCCCACGCCATCCCCCGCGCTATCCCTATTATCTCCCCCATGCCATCCCCATACCCCCATTCCCACCATGTGTCCCAGGCCATAGCAGCCATGACGCGCGCTCGAGATGCGGACCCCACCAACCTGGACGTGCTGCTCGCTCTGGGCGTCAGCCACACCAACGGTCAGTGTCGTGTCAGAACCACACGAACGGTGAGTGCATGTCATGCGAATCACACACCTCTGTCTGTTGTCGGCTCATGGCCGAGAGAGGCACATGCGATGCATCAAGGCTCCGCTCCCCACCAACCTGGACGTGCTGCTCGCCCTGGGCGTCAGCCACACCAACGGTCAGTGTCACTCCCTCGTGTCATCCACCACGCACCTCCTTCCATGCACTCATATGAACCTGCGTCACATCAACCACCACCCGCCTGAACTACCCGCCTTCTCCTTCTCCTCATGTCTCGTCTACCCCCTCCCTCGTGCCTGCTCCTCTCCCCATCCCCACCCGTTTCCCATTCCCCACCATCCCCTATATTGCTGGCAGAGGCTGTGCAGCTGGTTGCAAAGTCACATGTCAGCCCCACTCCCTTCTCCCACCCCCTCTTCCCCTCCTCCAACCGCCCCAACTCCTTCTCTTCCTCTTCCCCTTCCCTTCCCCCCCTCCACCATCAGAGCTGGAACAAGCAGAGGCGCTGTACACCTGCGCAGCTGGCTGCTGAACCACATGAGTGGATTCTGCACCCCTCCCTCTCCATGCCTCTACACTCTGCCCTTTTCCCTTCCCCCCCCCGCCATCAGAGCTGGAGCAAGCAGAGGCACTGTACCACCTGCGCAGCTGGCTGGGGAACCACTCCAAGTACAAGGCGCTCGTGCCCCCGTCGGGCCCGGCCTCCATGTCCCACTCCGATGTGCGTCCACCCCTCTCACCCCTCCTGTTCTTTGCTCAATCCGCCTCCCCGCACTGCCTCGCCCTACTCTGTTGCTCGCCGCCCTTCCCTCTCTCTGCGCTTCATTCCTGTGCACCTCGATAGCGCTGCAAGTTATTCTCACACGTCCAGCTCCTTACTCGAGTCTCTCGCCAGCATCCCTGATACAAGCCGACTCAAACACCATTCCGCACACGTCTCCTCCTTGCCTGTCTGCATGTGTGTGTGTGGGTGGGTGGGTGTGTGTGTGTGTGTGTGTATGTGTGTGTGTGTGGGTGGGTGGGCGGGTGTGTGAGTGCGTGTGTGCGTTCGTGTGTGTGTGTGCATGTGTGCGTTCGTGTGTGTGTGTGTGTGTGTGTGTGCGCTCGTGTGTGTGTGTGTGTGTGCGTTCGTGTGTGTGTGCGTGTGGGTGTGCGTGTGTGTGTGTGTGTGCGTGCGTGTGTGTGCGTGTGTGTGTGTGCGCGTGGGCGTTCGTGTGTGTGTGCGTGTGTGTGTGCGTGTGCGTGTGCGTGTGTGTGTGTGTGTGTGTGTGTGGGCGTGCGCGCGCATCTGTGTGTGAATGTGCGCATGTCTGTGTGCCAGGTGGTGCAACTGTACACGGAGGCAGCTCGCATGGCGCCAGAGGATGCCGACCTGCAGGTCCGGAGGGCCTTGCCCTGCCATGCCATGCCATGCCATGCCCTGCCCTTCCATGCCTTGCTCAGTCAAGTATTGACGTTCCATGCCTTTCTGATTGCATTTCTTTGTCATGCCAAGGCTGCGTGTGCTCTTGCCATGTTCCTTGCGTCATGCCAAAATTCACCCCTTTGCCCAACTCCCCTCACCCCCTGTCCCGCGTGCCAGGTGGTGCTGGGTGTGCTGTTCAACCTCTCCCACGAGTACGACCGCGCCAAGTCAGCCTTTCGTCGAGCCCTTGCGCTGCGCCCGTCCGACTACTCGCTCTGGAACAAGCTGGGCGCCACACAGGCCAACAGCGCCCAGTCCGCTGAAGCCATTGAGGCGTATCAGAAGGTATACGTGCACTGGACAGTCTTGTTGAAGTCGTCTCATGCTGATGCATCATGTTGCGGATTTGTGCAATTGTTTTCATTGTATCGATTTGTGCTCTTTTTGTTACTGGGTTCTCTATTGCTCTCCAGGCTTTGGATTTGAAGCCGAATTATGTTCGTGCGTGGACGAACATGGGCATTGGATATGCCAACCAAGGCAAGTATGAGGAGTCGGCTCGCTATTATGTGCGTGCGATTGCGATGAATCCAACGGCAGAGAATGCGTGGCAGTACCTGAGAATCGCGTTGAGCTGCGCTGGAAAGGCAGAGCTACTCCCAGCTTGTGATGCCCATGATGTGGATGCTCTTCAGAGGGAGTACCCGTTGTGATTGAATGGTACTACCGGATCTTCAGTATTTGCAATGAAGTTCAGGGCGACGTCAGGTTGTACAACTTTTTGTACGCCCTCTCCGGTAAATTTCGCTTAACACGGTGAAGAGCGGTAATCGTCAAGAACCGTTTTTCACCGTGTTGGACCGTCCTGAACCACGATACAGGAACTGTAAGCGCGTACCGTATGAAGTGTATAACCTGACGTCTCCCTCAGATGTACGGTATGTATAAATGTTTGGGGAACACTTGGTGTCATGGTGTTGAATTAAATCCTGACCACAATATGGACCGACCAAAGATTGGGTGACAAGTCAGAGCTCACCAACATCGGTCAGCTGTCTCAACCAGTCTCCAGCCACCCTTTAGCCACGTGAATCCCATTCGGCTGACACTCGCACCATGCTCCAATCTGTTCAAATTACATGTACGACAAATCGTAGACCACCTCAACGGTGCGCTTTGCTCCAATTCGTGACAGATATTCGCTTGTCAGAGAAGGCACCTTGGGATTGGGGACGAAGAAGACGTTCACTTTTTCCGTCAAGTTGAGGCGGGAGTGTAGACCCGCCACAGAAGTCGGCAGCATTCCTGGCTGAGGAACTCGACGACTCGTTGATTGGTAGACGCGTAACTGAGCTCCAGGCGTCCAGCCACTCCCTTTCCGCCTTTTAGGATCTGAACAGCTCCAACAGTGCGGGGAGAGACTGAACCTCAATCCCTTTCAAGAACCACCAACCACATTTCAAGCGACCATCAAGCCTGAAAATGAGGCACGCGCATCTCAAAGCTGATCTCAGTGGTTCGTCAAGCTCAGACGAAAGGCTTGGAGATGCTTGAGTCTGACAACTTCCAGATGTGCTCTTCAACAATTCGTCCAATCGGTCTGGCGGCTTTTAGACAACGAAGCATGATTGGCTTCTGAAAAGTGAACCCATACCAAATCATGCGACTTGCTGGTTATACAGATAGGCTTGGGGGACACAAATGATGAGGATTTGGTGCGAAGGGGCCATGGCCCATGATTATCGTGTATGATGTCACATAGGGCCGTGGATGTGCAGGAGAAGAAGCTGCTTGGTTCGGAACCAAACCGGCGAAACACAATCTGGGCCATATGTGCTGTGCGCACATTAGCACGACTCCAGCACAGCAGCCAGTCAGATAAAATGGGAGCACACAGGAGCATATCTGCTAACATTGAGGGAGGGCAGTGAACATGTGAAAGGTTTCAGCTGGCGATATTTCACATGCTTGTTTGTTGAAATCCCTGTTCTGAGATTCTGGACCTTATTTCAGAACACAGTGAGAATTTCTGCCTTATACCTCAAGGATAGGTGCCAGATATCTAGTTTTCTGAGTGGTGTCTGGTTGAGTCTAGGGCTGGAGCTCAATGAGTCTACTCGTTCAGCCACCGTCACCTGTAACTGGAATTGCAATGGCGCCTGTTCAGCAGATGGACCAGAAGTTTGAGCACCAAGCTGTGAAGATTTCGTGTAGTCAATCACCCCCTCAATCTCAAACTTTGCCTGTGCTAGTCTCCAGTGAAGTCCCTGCAGTTTCTGGAGAGAACATCCACAGCTCTGCACTTGTCTGCAACGCTGAAAGCAATCCGAGGGAGCTGAAGCCAATGATCGATGGCAAACTGCAAAACTCCCCGCAAGTGTTCGCATGTCAGCCGCAATTCGCTCTAACCTCTGACCATCACCAGTCACTGGCAACCCCGAAGCTCAACGATTCTCCATTGTCTGCAGACTATTCTCCTTCTTCAACACCCAGGACGCCAGGCTCCTCCAGCTCGTTTCGGTGCTCGCCTGTACGAAAGCTTCCCGCGCTCTCACCTATCGCTGAAGTCCGCTCTCCACACATAATGGGAGCTCCGGTTTCCCCTCCACCTCTCACAACCCCTGTCTTCTCATCAATCCCGCCGCTGACAAACATTAGCCCTGATGGTCAAGCTGGCTCGCCAGACTCGACCGTGTCTGCAGGTAGATTTCTCATAATATTTTTTGAATGGTGGTGATCTAAAGGCGTGGTCGTGGATACGTGCTCTTTCCGTCTTCCAAGGTCTGACCTTCTGCTGTCTGATGGACCATGCAGATCCTAACGCAGGCCCTTTCACAATAAGCCAGTGGCAACAACTGGAGAAGCAAGCTTTGATATTTAAATATATCGTCTCTGGTGTTTCTCCACCACAAGATCTTGTTGCGTCACTTTACGCATCCCCTGATACCTCCAAAGGTCCTCGGGAAAGCGAGAGAGGTAATTACTAAATCTCAGTAGATTGACTTCAGAGTTACGTTGTCTTCTACAGAAACCTCATGCACATGACGTGTCTTTTAACAGGCGAGTGGATGCACCCGATGCGTCTTGACTTGGAGCCTGACAGGTGCCGTCGTACTGATGGAAAGAAATGGCGGTGTTCCCGAGAGGTACATAATGAATTCCTTGCTTCACCTCCACAACCGCGCCGTCAGCATTGTAATGCATTCCTGATTCACTTGATCTGCTTGATTATCTCTGCAGGCTGTCAAAGATCAGAAGTATTGTGACCGTCACATGCATAGAGGGAGAAATAGGTCGCGGAAGGCAAATGAAAACTGCACTGCAGGCTCTAATGCATCCATTGCTGCTGCGTCGTCCGATGGACCTGCGTCAGAAGTAGCAGGCGGGATCAACGCTGCGACAAGCAGCATCGCTGAAAGTGGTATCACGCAGACGAGGCATATTGATGAGCATGCAGTCGCTTCTGTCTCGGAGCGCAAGAATGACTCAAGATGCGAGTCAAGTGCTCAAATGGGAGAACGATCAGCTCTACCGCCTCTCACGTTACCTCCCCCAGTTCATCCAATGGGCGCAGCACAAGTGGAGCCATCTTCAGGACTCAACTCGTAAGACATTCACTCACCCTTCGTAAGCTTCATGATGACCCCCTCGTCCAGTGTCTTACATATTCATCGCCCCGTTTTGCGCAGGCGAGCCACTGCAACATCAACATGGCAGACGAATCCGACAACTTTCCAGTCACAAGCGCAGCAAGAGCAGCACAGGATGCAACATCCACCTCAAGACCAGCAGGCTGTGCCTCATTCTGGAGGCTTGAATCAAAGCATAAACTGCAGCACTTCCAGTCGTGTTCAGCAATATCAGCTGAGTGGCAACCTTGGTCCTCGGTTCACCTCCCCCTTCCAGCCTGGGCAGTCGCTGCAAGTTGAGAATACCACGCCTGGAGCCCCTTCAACATCCAAATCCCTTGGTGTCAGCTCGAGCATCGTGGGTTTGAACAGCGGTCCTACGCAGTCTGGTAACCATGGGACTGCAGGAGGACAACTCCAGCCTGGACATTACCAGATTCAGCATACCCCAAGAGCTGCTATATGGGAGAGGGATGGAGATGATGATACCCCAAGAGTCCCACTTCTTCGTCTACCTAACATGTTGCAGGTAAATTGCAATCCAAACTCAGACTCCCACAAATTTCCTGGGACGTTTTGCAACATGTCAGCTAATGCATTTCTTGAATTCTGTTTCATGTGTATCATCCCACCAGAGGTCGGCGTCATTACAGATTGCTTCATCTTATTCTGACAAGTCACACGTTGGCCATCACTTGAGCAACGCTCCTCCTGTGGTTACAAACTCTTCGAGTCATCCTGCTTCAACTCCTGTGCCAGGTATCTCTTCCAGTCGTCCTGCCTTTCTCACGAGATGCAGCTCTGTCCCTGAGCCTCGATATTCCCGTGCTGGAGGAATGATGCGAAGTCATTCAATATCTGAGGCTCCTGGTAAGGTGGCCCATGCCATCAACCCTTCGTACCAGAGCCCTGTCGACCTTTCGCGACAGGTTCATGAAAGTTACCAGCAGCAGCCACAGGTCCATGCTGCTACTGCACGCCAGTTTCAGCCACATCAACCACAGCAGCTGCAGCTGCAGCAGCAGCAGCAGCAGCAGCAGCACTTCCAGCAGCATCAAGGACAGCTGCATCAACATCAACAGCAACAGCTACAGCAACAGCAGCAGCAGTCACAACAACAGCCCCAGCAGCAGAACCAGCTGCAGCAGCAACAACAGCAGAATCAGTATGAGCAGGAGTTTCAACAGATTCAGTACCAACAGCAAGGTCAATACAACCAATACCAAGAACAGCCTCAATCGCTTCAACACAAAACGCAGCAGCAGCAGTTGATCTCTAACCAACATTATCATCAATACCAGCAAAGCCCACAGCAGCAGCAGCAGCAGCAGTCATCGCAGCCACCACTACTTCAGCAAACGCTGCAGCCCCAGCAACCAATGCCACCACAGCATCAACAGCAGCAAAATACTCAACCTCAAGTGCAGCAGCAGTACCAGCAGCAGCAACAGAATCAACTGCAAGAGATCCCAGCGTGTCAGCTTTCCCAGGAAGACAACATTTTCCAGGACCAACAACAGGATCAGTTGCAGATGGAGTCGGTTGACATCTTCTTGAATGTTGACAGGTGACCGATTCGCTGTATGTTGCACATTCGAGGAGGGTCGCATTTTGCTAGCAGATGGACGATTTTCACATTTGTTTGTCTATCAGAGAGAGTGCTTGAGGTCTAGTCACCATTCATCAGCGTCAATTCCTTATACGGTATTAGGTACCGTCAGACAACATGGTATATAACAGTAGCTTGATAAGTTTTGCTACTAATGAGGAGCTATACTAAGAGGGGTTATGCTTGTATATCATATGCTAGTAGTCATTCACGTGTATATCACGTGTTAGTAGTCGTTCACTTGTATTTCACGTGTATTTGTACGAGCACTCACACTGTATTCGATCAAAACGAATTCGTCTGGAATTGGTGGTTCCTGCTTTTCAGAACATCGAGCTCGGCCACGTCAGTGTCAGCGCTCATCTGGGCCACACCTGCATGTCACCTGGAACTCGTTCTCGTTGACCCTCCCCTGCCGGTCCCTCCTCCCCAGCCATTTATGTTTTTCGCTTCTTCAGACATAATCCCTAATCAGTAGCTCCGCAACGCTTTGTCTCCTGTCGTCTGTCGAGCCGCTGCTAAAACGCCATCTATATCATTCAAAATGGCGTGCATCCAGGCTGTCGCGTCCTTGCCATCAAGAGTCTCATTGTCTCTTCCCGCTGCTTCCAGTGGACAGCGTAGCGTCGTCGTCCGGCCAATCAGAAGCCAACGCCTGGTTGCTGTCTGCGCGGTAGGTCCTTTATTCGCCGAATGGGTCGCGTGATTAGAACGCAAAGTGATCTAATATTCGTGATGTGACGTTTTGGACATGCCAGAGGTCAATGCAGAGCTAATGTGACCTCCGTTACTGTACTTGTCGTCACGGAGCCTCCTTGGCGACCTCCATTGCTGTATGCTGCTCAGGCTTCGCTAGGTCGACTTTAGTAGACAATAGTGGGAGTCGGTGACGTCAAGCCGAGCCACAATGCACAGTTGTCGCCAGTTCGCCCTACCCTGCGGCTGTCTTATCCATTACTGCCACAATCTTCCGTTTCGTTTTTTTTTTTTTTTTTTTTTTTTTTTGCTACCGTTTCATCCTCCGCTGCCACCGTCTTGCCGTCCACCTTCTAACCTAGTTTTGATCTCAGTTCCGCTGTGCTTCTTCCCATGATCGCTGACCTCGAGCTCACCATTCCTTGCTCCTGACGACAATGTCGGAAATAGGGCAGGTGCCATTCTGTCCGGATTCCGTCAAAGCAGGGCACGCTATCCCAGCTTCAGATCAGGCGACCACCCTTAGCGGCAGTGCATTAGAAGGCTTCTCATTTTTCCTCCTGCGTGTCCGCCTGTCCCCACCACTCTCTCTCGTCTCCCTCTCCCCCGTTTCCTTTCCCTTTTTCTTCTCTCCGTCGTCCCCCCCAGGCGCGTTCCCCCAAGTCCACCGATGCCGCTCCCGCGCGTCGCCCCTCGTCCGCGCCGTTCCGCCTGCTCTCCGCGCCGGTGGCGGCGCTCCCGCTGGTGCTGGCGTTCGTAGAGGCGGAGCTGCCCAACGCCATGGACACCTTCACGGCGCTCTCCGACTTCCACATCACCGAGCCCGCCTTCAAAGCTTTTTGTAAGTGCTCTTTCAACCCCTCACTGCCTTCCGTAAGCCGTCTTTGATCCGAGTTGAGTTGTGGGTCGACTCAACAGCTGCCCAACGCCATGGACACATTCACGGCGCTCTCCGACTTTCACATCGCCGAGCCCGCCTTCAAGGCTTTCTGTAAGCCCACTTTGAAGCCGTCAAGTGCTTCTGTACGCTTTTGCGCCCTCTTTTTTTTTTCCGTAAGCAAGTCGATAATTTCATACTCCCATTAGGTCCATTCAAATCGTTGAAAATGCCTGGGCTCGTAGATGTGGTAAACTGATAAAGTACGGCTAACTTCTCGACGAGAACCAGTCAAGCGTGCTTACTCCTACACGCCTGTTCCCATCCAAACAAACCGGAAAACGTTCGCTTTCGGCCAGGATTTCCTGCTCTATTCCCTCCTGCTCTTAACATCCTATCTCCATATCTCCCCCCCTTCCCTCCCCCCTCCCCTTGTGCCTCCCCATCCACTCCCCCCTGTGCCATTTCCCCTCAACTTGCCATCCCTCCCCGCCATGCAGACATGATCTTCACGTGCGTCTTCTGCTGGGGCGCGCTCGTCTTCGGCTCCATGAACGTACGTGCGCGCTTCTCCTTTATTGCGCCTCCCCCCATACTCCAGCCCGTCCCCCCGCCCCCCCGCCCCCCGCGTCCCGCCCTCTCTTTCCCATCCCCTCCGCGTTTCCATCCCACCCTCCCATTGCCCCTATGCAATTTCTCTCCTTTCCCTCCCCCTCCCCTCCATCCCTTTCCCCGGCCCCATCTTCTCCCATTCCTTCTTCCTACGTTTCTACTTTCCGTTCTAGTCCCCGTACCCTCTCACCTCCCCTTTCCTCTCACCGCATGGTACCGCGTTACACCCCCGTTTCTCAAATCCTCCCTTCCCCGCACGGCACATCCCTCCACGAACGCATTTATGCTAATGGCAGTAGCACCAGCAGCAGTAGTAGCCGCAGCAGAATCAGCAGAAGCAGTAGCAGCGTGTAGCACTGGCGTTTTCCCCATTTTTAATGTCTTTCATCCCTTTTGACGGTATTTGCGCGTGCTCCCTTCTCCTCCGCCACGCGTGTCCCCACCCCCCCTCCGCGTGGCCCCACCATCCCCTGCGCATGCCCCTACCCCCCCCCCCTCCCCCCTGCGCATGCCCCACAGGACGAGTACTACGAGAGCGACGAGTACCGCAATGCGGGCGGCAACGGCACCCAGTTCTGGATCTACCAACGGGTCAGTCGCACGCCCATGCCCCACCTGCTGCTCACACACGGGGGGTGTTGGCACAAAAGGGGAGAGGGGGGGTTGGGAGGGGGGGGAAGGGGGCGGCGGATTGGGCCAGGGATGTTTTCACACCAGGGATGCAGGTAGGCTTGGGCATTTGACCCGAACGGGTCGGGTAACCCGACCCGACCCGATATTTTTGGCGGGTCGGGTATATAATTCTGATTGGACTACCCGGGCGGGTCGGGTATGTATACCCACGTCGGGTAACAGATACCCGATACCCGACCCCGGTGTTCAAACTCGGGTATTTGATACCCGATATTTGACCTGGTTAAACATGCTTGAGGCTTGCAAAATGCCATAAGAAGCGCCTAACTACTAAATTTTCAACTAGGAGTTTAGGTAATCAATGGGAGCGCACCGTCACATTGTGTGAAATGTAAGATAAATAAAAAATTGATCACATTGTCTTTACGGGTATACCCGGCCCGACCTCGGGTATACCCGACCCAACCTCGGGTTATAAATACCCGAGGTGTACAAAGCGGGTCGGGTAACTAACCTGACCCTTAGTACCCGAGGTCGGGTATACCCGACCCGACCCCACCCTACCCTTGGGTAGCCCCAAACGGGTCGGGTGGGGTTGGGTCGGGCCAATGCCCAAGCCTAGATGCAGGTACACCTGGCATGTAGGCACACACAGGGGGAGGTGTGTGTAATTAGTTCTTGCCATGCGGCAGTGGCATGATTGTTTATGCGGCTTGATGATATCCACATGCCGTTCTCCCTCCTCCGCACACCCTTCTTCACAACCCCGGCCCCTTCCTTCTCTGCCCTGGCCTTGTGCCCCAACCCTTCTTGTGACTGCGAGACCGTGCCATCAAACCCCCCTTCCCTCTCTGCTGCCCTCTCCTCTGCTGCCGTTTCACCCCCTGCCTCTCCCGCTGTCCTCCCCCGCTGTCCTCCCCTGCCCTCCCATCAAATCATCCCTGCCCTTTTGCAGGCGGAGGAGGAGGAGGAGGGCGGCAGGGAGGAGCTGTGGAGGGAGGAGTTGAGGAGGGAGATAGAGGAGAAGGTGACGGAGGTGAAGGGGCTCAAGGGGGCCGTGCGGGAGGAGGAGCTTGTTTGACCGGGCTCGCCTCAACGCCATTGTGTGGGCTAGCTGTGGCCTGCTGTAACAAGGGCTTTATGCACTGCTCTATGTCTTCGTCGTGTGCTATTTTTTCATGTCATTTGCAATCAAAATGGGAAGCAAATTTAAAGACTGGTTGGAGCACAGCTCCCTGAGCTCAGGGGATTGCAGGAGTTGCAGTAAGGCCGGATTCCAGTTAGTGGTGCAGGAAAAAACAACAAAATATGAGAAAGCTAAGAGGCCAATGAGTCCTGCAATTAAATTTATAAAACTGCCCATCTAGGAACCAGAAACACATCCTGCAAAAAGATTGAATCAATGTCATCTACACTGCAATAGGCTCCTGCACTCCAACCACGGCAGCATCTGCTTGCACAGCCCCCACCCCATCCTTCTCCCCACCTCCACCTCCCACACTACCAGCACCACCACCACCCGCAGCAGCAGTGCCAATGACATCAGCAGCTGCAGCCTCAGCAGCAGCGATGGTCCCACCCACTGCAGCCCCCAGCTTGTGCACCGTGGCTGGCGCTGCTGAATCAGGGGCAGCAGCAGCAGCAGCAACAGCTTGGTCAGCAGCAACGGTACCATTGGCAGCAGGGGGTGGAGCAGGCGGGGCAGAGAGCTTGGTAATGAGAGCGATGATGAGTTGGTCCCTGCGTGCTGCTCTCTCGTCCTCTCTTGCTGCCCTCTCCGCCTCCATCTGCACCCACATACACGCAGGAATGCACGCACGCGACCACATGGTGGAAGGCAGATGAATGCTTGTTATGAAGGGGGTCAGTAGGAGGGACGAAAATGGACTCACCTGCCCCCACACCCACCTGGCACCACATTGACTCCCTCTGAGAGCGAAGGGCTTGCCGTAGAAACCTTTCCACGCACCCCCCACCACAACCACCTGACCTCCCCCTTCAACACTCACCTGCCCCCCCGCTCTTCCCCAACCCACCTGCCGCCACATGGACTCTCGCTGCGCGCGATCCCTCTCCAGCGCCTCCAGCCTGCTGCGCCACTCGCCCTCCCTCACCCTGCGCTCCGCCTCGCGCCGCTCAATGGCCTCGCGCCACTCCTGCTCCAGGCGCAGCTGCTGCACGAAGAACTGCTCCAGCACCTCCTGCATGCTCCCCGCGCGCTGCCTTTCCAGCACCGCGCGCCTGTCCCCCCCCCCCGTTCCCCCCCCCGCCCATGCCATCAAACGCGTCTCCGCCCGCGCTGCCCCCTGCGCCAGCGGACGCGCCCTTCCCCATGCCAGGGGAGCCCGCGCCGTAGGCCCCTGTGGCGGCCTTGCGCGCGCCAGCGTTGAAGTCGCGCTTGCGCCTCTTGTTGCGCAGCACGTTCAACTCGCCCTCTAACTCGTCCTCCCCCTCCTCCTCGTCCTCCTCCTCCTCCTCTTCCTCGTCTCGCGCCCGCCGGGTGAGCAAGCCCCCTCCCACGCCCCCCGCGCCCCCCCGCGCGCCCAACCCCCCGCCGAAGCTTCCGCGCATGCCCAGGGCGCCTCCGACTGCTCCGGCCCCGCCGCCTCCTGCGGAGAATCCGCTGCCGATGCCGCCGCTGGCGCCGATTCCGCCGGGCGTGCCGCCGCCCTCCGCCTGCACGAGCAGGCGGTCCATGTTTCGCGCGCGCTGCTTGAAAATCGCGTCCAGCTCATCGAAGAACGGGCACGAGCGTGAGCCGTCCGCCGAGAGCTCCTTGTTCTGGCGGGGCGCGCGGGTGCACGGGTGGAACGAGGAGAGGGTAGCGGGAGAAAAATTAGGAGAAGAGGAAGTTTAAAACGGAAAATAAAAAGCACTAACTCCGTAATGCGGCGGGCGTTGCGCGGCGGGTACCTTGTAGCGGTTGACGAGCACTTTCCACTTGCACTTGCATTGGTTGGGCGTGCGGCGGTACCCTTTCTCCTTCATGCGCGACGAGATGGTCTCCCACACGTGGTTGCTCGTGCGCCCCGGCACGAAATCGCGCTCCATCTCGCCGCGCAGCGCGATCAGCTCCTTGGTCTCGTGGAAGCCCCAGTGCGACTGGCGGTCCGCCGCCGACGCCATCAGCGCGTCGTCATACGCGCCCGCCACGCCCAGCGGCCCGTCGTCCGCCATTCCGGGGAGCAGCGGCAGATGATGCGACATGCGCGAACTGGAGACCGGAGCGCGGACGGAAAAAGTAAGCGGCTGAAACTTTTCGCTAAGCGTGGAGAGGCGGCAGGTCTTTGAAAAGCGCGAGTGGGATGGAGGAGCACGGTGCTACGGTAGTACAGTCTAGTCTAGCGAACACGATCAACGAACCGCGGTGATATCCGCGCTGTGTAAAATTCAAACGAAGCGATTTTCAAATTGGTGCCTCCCACCCAGGGCGTGTCGAGGATGCGGCGTGAGAGCGAAATTGAATAGAATGGAGGAGGTAATTACATGGGAGCCATGGAGCTAGGGTCAGAGGGAGGGTTGGCGGTGATTGCGCGTTTGAAGCGAGGGTTTGGCGATTTGAACAACTGAGTGCGAACAGATCGGGGGAGAAATGTCGTGGAGTGGTTCTTTCTGTCCGAAGGCGGGGTGTGTGGGTGTTGCTTGGGTTGGATTGGGAACAAGGGTTTGAAGGAGAGTGCAGAACAGAGACTGGATGGCAGTTTCGAGATTGTAACGAGGGTGTGGGAACGCTTTAGGCCGTGCTCTGTGGTTCGTTGGCACAGAAACACTAGTGAGATTACAGGCGTTGCCGAAGTCTGAATAATCAGGGGATGTCAGGGTTTGATATCACAGTTTGGTACACTGTCATTTCGGTTCCACGATAAAACGATGATTCTTATAGCAATATATTCGTGCGCCACCGAAAGCATAATTGTATCAGTGCGTTGCAATAACGAAAGAATTCCCAGCTCCAGGTCTTCGCCATCCTTCGTTACGAGTTTCGTCAAGCCTCACCGACCCACCAACCTCACTTTGCAGGCGCAGGTCACAGAGAAATATCCCCCAGCGCATGACAGCGCATTCACCAGCTGGTATGCGCCAGCAGCTGCATCATCTCATCACACAGACGCGACTCACAACTAACACATTTGAAGACATTATCTACCGAAGGCGAAGAGCGAGAAGGATACCGCCGTTTCTGCCGTCGCTTGATATCCCCCGGAAAGGCCGTCATGATTTCAATATGTTGATGCAGATTCTAATTTCCGCGTTTCCGGGCGATCTACAAGGCTCACAACTAGGACGAGCCGATTCGCTGTTCTCATTATAAGCTCTCGATTTTCCGTAATTGCTCTGGTGATTGCCCGCCATGCTGCAGAATGGAGCCGCTTAGTGCTTTGCACGAAGTATCGCACCGAGCGTCGCAAAGAGCGTCGCACACAGTATCTCACAGAGCGCTGCACAGAGCATTGCGTAGTTAGCTCGTCACGGCCCGCGTTGGAAGCTCTTACCTTCGCTCTGCCGAATTCGCGCCAGGTATCGCAGAACAGCAGGTCGCACAGCAGCTCGTCGCACAGCAGCTCGTCGCACAGCGTTCGTCTCACAGCAACATGGGGAGCAAAAGTCACAACTTGCCGAGTCTAACACCCAGGTACGACACCCGAATGCTCCTTGCGCCTGCGCCGTAACCCTCGCCGCGCAGCTTGCCCCCGCACATGCCGCCAGTGAGTCCAACGCACTCACCACTCCATCTCGCCGCGTCGCATGCAGATCGCACGCGGCGGCTGACGTGGAGGAAGGCGCGCAGCAGGCTGATCTCCGCTCGCCGCTCCTCTCCGTCGGCGGAAGCGCGGGCCCGAAAGAGCGCCACCACCACCACAGCAACAGCATAGGCGGCGGCCCTTCCCCCGGCGGCGGCGGAAGCTCCGCGTCCGAGGGGAAACTCGCGAGCTTCTTCCGCGCGGACTCCGCGTCTGAGCGCAAGCGGGATGACAACTGGGCGGTGGGCGCGAGCGGGGGCGGGCGGCGGTCGCGGCGGTTCCAGGTGGCGGGGAGCGCGCTGGTGTCGGGCATGTGCTACTGCGCGTCGTCGTGCTCCATGATCCTTCTCAACAAAGTCGTGCTGTCTGGTTACCACTGGGACGCGCAGATCTCCCTCATGCTCTACCAGGCACGCCCCCCACCCCCTTCCCTCCCTCCCTCTTTCCCTCCCACCCTCCCTCCCTGCCTCCCTCCCTCCCTCTCTCTCTTCCTCCCTCTTTCCCTCCCTCCCTCCCTCCCTCCCTCCCTCCCTCCATCCCTCCCTCCCTCTCTGCCTCCCTCCCTCTCTCCCTCTCTCCCTCCCTCCCTCCCTCCCTCACCCCCTCCTTCTTTGCCTCCCCCACTTGCCCCTCTTTCCCGCCCTTCCTTTCTGCCTGTCTGCCTGCCTGCCCACCCGCCCTATCCACCTTTGTAGTTGCACCTCCCGGTCGTTCCATCTCTCCCACCCTTCTTTCTTCCTACCTCACTCCCCCGTCCCCTTCCTATATCATGCTCCCCCCCGCACGCCCTGCCGCCCAGCACCCTGCATCAGGCTACTTCCACTCTCGTACGCCGCTCCCGGCCGTCTCCTCCTCGACTAACCTACTCTGCCAATCCCACGCTCACATGTCCCCCGTGCATGCACAGAACCTGGTGAGCGTGACGGTGGTGCTGGTGCTCGTGTATATGGGCGTCATCGCCACGGAGCCCCTCACGCTGCGACTCATGACCGTGTGGTTACCAGTCAACCTCATCTTCGTTGGCATGCTCGTCACCTCCTTCTTCAGGTGCCCTCCCTGTTAGTTGCTGTCTCTCTTTGTTCAGATGCTCTGCCTGTTCCTTCAGGCGCCCCTCAGTTCAGGTGCCTGACTCCTGAGCATCTGAACCTCTCAATTGCTCGACTGCTCCATTCAACCTCTCATGTCGTTCAACCTCAACACTCAAAAAACGCGTCAACCCTCTTTCACCCTAGCCCCTCCCTTTCCCCACTTCCACCCCGTCCACGCCCTCCTCCCTCCCATCCCTCCCACCCAGCCTACAGTACATGCAGGTGGCGATGGTAACAATACTAAAGAATGTGACCAACCTCATCACAGCGGTGGGCGAGATGTACCTCTTCCCCTCCTCCGCTCCCCTCCCCCACCTTTCCCTCTTGCAGTCTACAGTACATGCAGGTGGCGATGGTGACGATATTAAAGAACGTGACGAACCTGATAACGGCGGTGGGCGAGATGTACCTCTTCCGCAAGCGCCACTCCTCCAAAGTCTGGGGCTCTCTCTTCCTCATGGTCAGCTCCTCCCCCCTTTCCTCTCTCACGAGTCATTATTGACTTTAGAGGCGCCTCAAGCGCCACTCCTTCAAAGTCAGGGGCTCTCTCTTCCTCATGGTCCGTACCGCCTCTCTTCCCCCCTTCCTCTCTCACGAGCCCTTATTGCTCTCTCATGCCATGCTCTGCCGCGCCACCGCTGTCACCTCTAACTGTACCCTCTCTATCCGCTCACCCTGGCATGCCACATCCTCACTGCGCCATGCAGCACGGCTCCACCCTCTGTCGCGCCCCCCCTCATCCTCTCCTCACCCTGCGCCGCCAGCATTCCCAATCCCCTTCCTTCTTCTCCCCCTGCGCCCTGTGCTACCCATGCCGCCTGTGTGCCTCTTTGCTCCCCATGTCTCCCGGTGCCACGTGGCAGATCCTATCGGCCTTCTGTGGCGGCTTCACGGACCTGGCCTTCCATCCAGTGGGCTACACGTGGCAGATCTTCAACTGCTTCTTCACCGCCGCGTACTCGGTATGCCGCAACCCGTTACTGTGCTGAACCCTCCACTGTGCTGTGCCATATGCACTGCCCTTCCACGCAGTATGCCACTGCCACAAGCATGTCACTGCCCACCTCTCCACTGTGCCTTGCCATAGGCACTTCCCTGCCACGCTCAATGCCCAAGCGTGGGCAGATAGGCCCTCACAGCTATCAGTCAGTCAGCACAGCCCTTCCCATCCGATTGCCCCGCTCTCTCTCCCCTCCCCTCCCCCCCCTCCCACCTCCTCTCTCCCAGCTAACCCTGGGCAGGGTGATGGACAGCGCCAAGGCCTCGACCAAGAGTGGGCAGCTATCGGAGTTCACAATGGTGCTGTTTCTCTTCCCCTCATGCCCTTGGCTTCTCTCCCTGGCTGCCCTTCCCCTCCTCTAACCAGCTAACCCTGGGCAGGGTGATGGACAGTGCCAAGGCGGCGACCAAGAGCGGGCAGCTGTCGGAGTTCACAATGGTGCTGCTCAACAATGCGCTCTCCTTCCCTCTTGCCCGCTTTCCCTTCCCTATCTTCCCTCTCCCCCCATCCCCTTGCCAAACAAGCAGCGCAAGGTGATGTGAGGGACAGGGTGGCGCTAAGACACTTCAAACCTCCTTCCCTGCTTCCCTCCCCTCTCCCCCATCAACAGCTAACCCTGCGCAAGGTGATGGACAGTGCGAAAGCTGCGACCAAGAGCGGGCAGCTGTCGGAGTTCACGATGGTGCTGCTCAACAACGCGCTCTCCTTCCCTCCCGCCATCCTCCTCATCATCGCCTTCAGCGAAACCAAATACCTCCTGCACTCGTGAGTTGCCTACTTCCTCATTCTTAGGGTTAAAACGGTGAGTGAGCACTCATAAGCGAGTCATGACTCATGTCACATTGTCACATTGTCACCCATGGTAGGCAGCAGACATCACTCCCTCTTTCCCTCACACCCACGCCGTCTGCATCTTTGTCCTCATCTCATATCGCCTTGCTTATTTGATCACGCCTACTTGCTGTCTGGCCCCTTCCGCACCTCCTCACACAACAAGCAGTCCGCTGATGCTGAATGGGGGCTTCTGGGTGGCGGTGACGCTGAGCGGGCTGCTGGGGCTCGCCATCTCCTTCACGTCCATGTGGTTCCTGCACCAGACCTCGCCCACCACCTACAGGTGGGTACCATGAGCGCAGCAGCGCAGCATCACAGCAGCACAGCAGCACAGCATGTACCGTACAGCTTGCTACAGCTACCACCAACCACCTCCATGTGGTTCCTGCACCAGACCTCGCCCACCACCTACAGGTGGGTACCATGAGCGCAGCAGCGCAGCATCACAGCAGCACAGCATGTACCGTACAGCTTGCTACAGCTACCACCAACCACCTCCATGTGGTTCCTGCACCAGACCTCGCCCACCACCTACAGGTGGGTACCATGAGCGCAGCAGCGCAGCATCACAGCAGCACAGCATGTACCGTACAGCTTGCTACAGCTACCACCAACCACCTCCATGTGGTTCCTGCACCAGACCTCGCCCACCACCTACAGGTGGGTACCATGAGCGCAGCAGCGCAGCATCACAGCAGCACAGCATGTACCGTACAGCTTGCTACAGCTACCACCAACCACCTCCATGTGGTTCCTGCACCAGACCTCGCCCACCACCTACAGGTGGGTACCATGAGCGCAGCAGCGCAGCATCACAGCAGCACAGCATGTACCGTACAGCTTGCTACAGCTACCACCAACCACCTCCATGTGGTTCCTGCACCAGACCTCGCCCACCACCTACAGGTGGGTACCATGAGCGCAGCAGCGCAGCATCACAGCAGCACAGCATGTACCGTACAGCTTGCTACAGCTACCACCAACCACCTCCATGTGGTTCCTCCACCAAACCTCGCCCACCACCTACAGGTATTCATCATGGGCAGAGCAATGTACTGTATAGATTGCTACAGGTGCAAAGTTTCTCAACCCCTTCCTCCCAGATCCTGCATCCACCCACCCTGCGCCCCACAAACCTCTGTCCCCTCATTTCAAACCCGTGTCCCCACCACCCCTCTATCCCCCTCCTGGCCATCTGGTGGGGTCTCTAAACAAGGTATTGAGGCGCCTCAACAGTAGTCTCTTCAAACCTGTGTCCCCACCATCCTTCTATCACCCCGCTACCCCTCCCCCCTCCCCCAATGCGGAGCAGTCTGGTGGGGTCGCTGAACAAGATCCCACTCTCTCTCTTCGGCATCATTCTCTTCAACGCCCCCACCAACCCACCTACCCTGTGCCGCGCAAACGTCTGTCCCTTACATCTCCATTTCTATTCCAACGCATGTCTCCATCATACCCTCTGGCAGCCTGGTGGGGTCGCTGAACAAGATCCCGCTCTCGCTCTTCGGCATCATTCTCTTCAATGCGCCCACCAACGCTGCCAACATCTCCTCCATCCTCTTCGGTGCGTGCCCCACTCCCACTGCACTCTCACTCCCCTCTCCATCCCCCTCTCTATCCTCTTCAGTGCGTCCACACCCCCCCTTCTTCGGTGCGTGCCGCACTTGGCCTGCACCCTATTTGCTATCTCCACTGAGCCACTCCCCCTCACGGAGTAAAAAGGCTGGACTACTAGCCACTTCCCGCACGGAGTAACCATCTTGCGGTTTTTTTTTTCACAATAAAGCACTGCACCCTGCTAGTTGCGCTTCAAACAATCCAGCACCCCTCTCTGATTCCTTCTTCACATCACCCTGTATCATCTCACCCACCCCACCACCTGCTTCCTTCTCCTCTCTCTCCTTCCGCAGGGTGCTTTGCAGGAGTGCTGTTCGCACGGGCAAAGATGCTTGGCTGATGCACCACCACCACCACACCACCACCACCACCGCCGCCGCTGCCGCCGCCGCCACGCCACCACCACCACCACCACATCACCTGCCACCCTGTACCACAGTAGCTGTTCTGCTTCATCCCCGTTAGAGAAAGCATTAGTGGGGGTACCTGTTTGCCATTATTGCCTAGTGATTGGGTTCCCCTCCCCTATGTGCAATGTCCATGAGTGCCCTGAAAAACCTGTAACCATATTACCTTAAGAAATGTATGTGATACTGCATCTGCCACAACAAATATTTTATTGAAGTGTAAGGGTATTGTAAAAAAGGAAACATACATACAATGTGCTAGCACTACATTCCTCGAAGCATTCCAGTGCGAACTAAAACTCCGGATTAGGGTTCTAAATCTCTCGGGTCTCCATGTGTTACCATGGGTTGCCCTGGATTTCGGGTTTCATGTTCCCTGTGTTCGTCACTAGGACCAAGTCGTCATTTGGACCAAGTGCTAGAATAGGTTAGTAAAGCGCTTAAATTCCTTTAGGAGTAGGGATAGCATTCAACAACCTGAATGCTATTGCATATTCGAGTGGCTCATGTTTAAATACACATACTAAAACCTTTTTTGCTTGGTTCGTGCGCAAAGAAAAGTTCGGCGCCTTTGATTTCGACTGTTTTTGCCGAAAAATGCTTAGGAAGCGCATGAATTATATTGGCGTAGGGAAGAGCATTCAACAATCTGAATGTCATTGCATATTCGAGGGGCTCATGTTCAGATACACCTATTAAAGCTTTTTTCGGCTTGGTTCGTGCGCAAAAATTCGGCGCCTATGGTTTCGGCTGTTTTTGCCGAAAAAATGCTTAAAAAGCGCATGACTCCTTATAGACGTAGGGAAAAATATTCAACAACCGGAAAATTATATTAGACCGAGAAAAAGCATGAATCCCTATAGGCGTTATTTGTCAAATATAGACATTCCATTCGTACATGGTACCTGCGCTACAGGCGCGCATACCGACCAAACAGACCGGCCCATTTCTTATGTTTGTATATATGCAGTTAGTACCATATTCTTGCCAATCTACTAGATTAGACCTTCTACTTCAACAGCACTAGTTTCTAACCTTTCCGATCCACATAATTGGAAAATTCAGAGTTCCAGTTCCGCATTGTACCTGCACACAAGCGTGCATACTGACTTTACCGGCCAGCGCATTATTCTCTCTGTACATGGTACATGCAGTACATGCATGCATGAGAGAATTGAAACGAGAATGAATGAACTAAGAAACAGTTGGGAACTGTGAGAATGAGAACGAGAGAATGGTGTGAACTATGAATGAAGCGAGTACAAATATGAAACCCTGCTTGGGTTGTACCCCCTATGGGATACCCCACTATAGCCTACACAATAGCATAAGCTATAATGTTCTGACACACCCCCATAGGCAAAGTGGGGGAGAACAAGGGGTCACAAGACCAGTCAAGCAAAGCAAAGCAAAGCTCAAGGTGGATCACAAAGTCACCACACATTCCGAGCACAAGTTCAAAGGCCAAAAGGCCAGCTCACATGCAAGAGCACATATATATATATATTTATATATATATACGAGGCTAAGCAAGCAAGAGCAGGATGTCAGAACATTATAGCTTATGCTTTTATGTGGGCTATAGTGGGGTATCCCATAGGGGGTACAACCCAATTAGGGCTAGTACTTGTACCCACTTCACTCATAGTTCATTCCATCATCGTTCTCATTTTCACATGGAATCAGAGCAGGTCCCCTCCTAGGGACTGTTTCTTGGGCCCACCGAAGCGCGCCCCAAAGCGCGCGTTTTTTTTTTAGCGACCCGTCGTGTCGCCCCCCCCCCCCTCCTCCCAGTGGCCCGTCGCGCCGCCTTTCGGTCCCGGCCCCGCCGCCCTACTCTAGCGGCCCCGCCGACCTACGTCGCGGCCCCGCCGCCCTACCCTTCGACGGCGCCGCCGCCCTAAGTCGCGGCCCCGCCGCCCTACTTCGACGGCCCCGCCGCCCTACGTCGCGGCCCTGCCGCCCTACACCCTACGTCGCGGCCCCGCCGCCCTACCCTTCGACGGCGCCGCCGCCCTACGTCGCGGCCCCGCCGCCCTACTTCGACGGCCCCGCCGCCCTACGTCGCGGCCCTGCCGCCCTACCCTACGTCGCGGCCCCGCCGCCCTACCCTTCGACGGCGCTGCCGCCCTACGTCGCGGCCCCGCCGCCCTACTTCGACGACCCCGCCGCCCTACGACGGCCCTGCCGCCCTACGTTGCGGCCCCGCCGCCCTACTTTAACGGCCCCGCCGCCCTACGTCGAGGCCCCGCCGCCCTACCCTACTTCGCGGCCCCGCCGCCCTGCGTTGCGGCCCCGCCGCCCTACCCTACATCGACGGCCCCGCCGCCCTACTTTGCGGCCCACGCCGCCCTACTCAGCGGCCCGCCAGACGCCCTACCTCCGGCATGCCCGCCGCCCTACCTGCAGCCCACCCGCCGCCCGACCGCCGGATCGCCCAGCCGCTGAGCCGCCGAGCCGCCCAGCAGCCGACCACCGAGCCGCCGAGCCGCCCAGCAGCCAAGCCGTCCAACACCCGAGCTGCCGAGCCGCCGAGCCGCCGAGCCACCGAGCAGCCGAGCCGCCCCGCAGCCGAGCCGCCGGCCGCTGAGCTGCCCTACTTCCATACGGCCCGTTCTGCACAGTCTGGTGAGCACAGAGCCTTCTTTTTCACTGCGCTGCCCTCACCCTACTGCTTGCACTGCTAGGCGTCTGTCGCCATGGCTACCCCCAGTGTCCTCGCTTTTGACGCTGAGGGTCGGGCCATTGACTTTGACTTTGAGGTCTGGGTAGATGACCTCCAGCTGTTCTTACAGTGCGATAGGGCAAACGACCTCTCTCACTTTGACCTTACCTCTAGCGCTTCCCCTGCCCTTGCTGCTGATGCTGACCCTACTGTTCGCTCCCAGTGGGCTACGCGCGATGCTGCTGCACGTCTTGCTGTGCGTCGCCACCTCCCTACCTCAGAGCATGCACACTTTAGTTAGTACAAGAGTGCTCAGACCTTGTACGACGTTGTAGTTGCCCGCTACTCCTCCCCTGCCACTGCTGCACTGAGCCGCCTCATGCTACCCTTCCTCTTCCCTGACCTTGCCGCCTTTCCCACAGTCGCTGATCTCATTATGCATCTCCGCACTAGTGACACCCGCTAACGCGCTGCGCTTCCTGCTGACTTCTGCGCCAAGAACCCCCCCCCCATGTACATCACTCTCTACTTTCTAGTCACCCGCCTCCCCGACTCCCTTTGTGTAGTCCGGGACCACTTCCTCGCGGTCTGTCCCACCACTCTCACAGTCGACAGCCTAGAGAAGGCCCTCCTAGCGGCGGAGAAGAGCATCGTCGCTGTAGGAGCCTCTCGAGGTGACCCCCGCGCCCCCATCTTTGAGGGGTGTTCTCCTTCCCCTGTCTTGCCCTCTGTCGCCTCTGCCGCTGCGGTCGACCTCGTTGGTCTTGGGTCGGTCGGTGCGGCGTCTGCCCCTAGCGGGAGACGCCGCTCTGGCAAGGGCAAGGGGGGCAAGGGAGCGGGTGGGGCTAGCGGGGGCGGTGGCGGTGGAGGTGGAGGCGGCGGAGGGAGTGGGGGTGGCGGTGGAGGAGGTGGCGGGAGTGGGGGTGCTAGTGGCAGCAGTGGTGGCGGAGGAGGCGTCGGCGGCGGCGGTACCGGCGAGGGTGGCGGCAGTGGCGGAGGTGGAGGAGGTGGAGGAGGAGGTGGTGGAGGTGGTCGGAGTGGCACTTTACAGCGGAGCGGCACTAGGGGTGGTCAGCGCCAGCAGCAGCAGTAGCAGCAGCAGCAGCAGCGTTCTCGCGACGTCCCCACCCCTCAGCAGCTCCGTGAGTGGTACACGCAACGTCAGCGTGGTGGGGGACTTGGTCCCTGCACCTACGTCCTTCGCACCGGCGACCGCGCGGGTGAGCAGTGTGGGGGTGCCCACCCCACCCAGCGCTGTTTTGGCCGCCTGACGAACGCTTGGCGTCAGCAGTTTCCGGAGGCCACGGAGATCCCCCGCTGGGGAGAGCTGTCTAGGGCTGGCGTGGCTATCTTTGATATTGACTTTGATGCTATCCTTGCTGCCATGTATGCTGTGACTATTAGTGATGAGGGTGACTGTTACCAGTGTTTCCCGCCCGACCCGGGCATTGGTACTGCTGCGCTAGGTGCTTGTGAGGCTACTGCTCTAGGTGTCAGTGAGGCTGCGCTCTCAGGTACCAGTGTGGCTGCGCTCTCAGGTACTGCGTCGGCTTCGGCCTCCCTCACCTTCACACTTGACTCAGGGGCTTCTCGCTCCTTCTTTCGAGACCGCACCACACTCACATCGCTTGGTAGGCCGGTTGCAGTCTCCCTGGCTGACCCCTCTGGGGGAACTGTCCTCGCTCACTTCTCCACTGTCCTCCCGTGTCCGGCTGCCCCCTCGAGCACCCTGTCGGGTCTGTACCTCCCCTCGTTCTCGACGAACTTGGTGAGTGGTGCTGACCTGCAGGATGCGGGGGTTCACCAGTTTACTCCTGCGAGTCAGCGAGGGACCCACTGCTCGGACGCCCGCACAGGCCGACACCTAGCCACGTTTTCGCGTCGACCCGGGTCGAGTCTCTACACCCTGACCGTTGAGTCTCCTCCAGTCCCTGCGTTTGGCCAGGTAGCAGCGTCGGGTTAGGTGTTTGCTGCTGCGTCCAGGTCTGGTCCTGAGTCTGCCCCCTGCTCGTGTCGCCTCCTATCTCACGAGACTCTCTTGTGGCACCACCGTCTTAGCCACCCCTCCTTGCCTCGTCTTCGGGGCATGGCTTCCCGTGTCCTTGTCTCAGGTCTCCCCCGGTCTCTCCCTCCCCTTCCTTCGGGGCCAGGACCTTCCTGTGTCCCTTGTGTCGAGGGGCGGCTCCGGGCTGCCCCTCACTCCTCCCAGTTTCCCCCGACAGAGGCTCCTCTGCAGACGCTTCACATGGACGTGTGGGGCCCCGCCCGCGTGCGTGGACAGGGTCACGAGCGCTACTTCCTGCTGGTGGTTGACGACTACTCGCGTTACACCACAGTCTTCCCGTTGCGCAGCAAGGGTGATGTCACTGAGGTGCTGATCGACTGGATCCGCGCAGCTCGTCTCCAGCTCAGGAGGAGCTTCGGCTCGGACTTTCCTCTTCTGCGTCTGCACTCTGACCGAGGCGGAGAGTTCTCCTCTGGCCTTCTGCGAGCCTACTGTCGTGCACGAGGCATCCGCCAGACCTTCATGCTTCCGGACTCTCCACAGCAAAATGGGATTGCTGAGCGCCGCATTGGCATGGTCATGGACGTCGCTCGTATGTCCATGATGCATGCGGCTGCCCCCCATTTTCTGTGGCCGTTTGCGGTTCGCTACGCGGCGCATCAGCTCAACCTTCACCCCAGGGTCTCCCGGCCGGAGACCTCCCCAGCCTTGCTGTGGACGGGGAAGGTCGGCGATGCGTATGCGTTCCGTGTCTGGGGATCTCGGGCGTTTGTCCGTGACCTGTTTGCGGACAAGCTGTCCCCTCGTGCTGCTCCCTGTGTCTTCCTAGGCTTCCCCCCTGACGCCCCAGGCTTCCCTATGACAGTACAAGCAAGGTCAAGAAGTGAGCAAGTGAGGCAAGACAGGCACAAGACCCAGCTGAGTGCAGAAGCGCTGATGATCACAAGGCGCAAGTGCCTTGGTGAAAACATCAAGAGTGTTGGCCTCAGAGGCCACTTACGCAAGCCGTAACTGTCCACGCTGCTGTAGCTCACGAGCAAGAAAGTAACGGAGAGCAATATGCTTTGTCCTGTGCTCCAGTCGCTGCTCTCGACACAAGGCCAGCATGGCCTTGTTGTCTACGTACAGGACTGGAGGAAAACGAGGCGGCTCTCCAAGGTCGGTCAGCAGGTAGGTGAGCCAGCGAAGCTCCTGGGCGGCCATAGCCCCGGCGTAGATCTCAGCCTCACATCTGGAGCCGAGAACAGAAGACGAGCGGGTAGCCCGCCACGAAAAAGAGTCGGAACCAAGACTGAAGGTGTAACCCTGTGACGACCGCTGCGTAGCCTGGTCGTCAACCCAAGAAGCGTCCGTGTGCCCAGTGAGGACCACTGGACTCCGCCCTCCAAGCACTAGCCCCATGCCCGACGTACTGCACAAGTAGCGCAACACCCTCTTCGCTGCAGCCATGTGCTCTAGTCGGTGTCTCCCAGGAGCAACATAGCGTGCAAGAATGCTAAGAGGGTATGCAAGGTCAGGTCGTGTGCAGGTCATCAGGTACATGAGGCAGCCAACAAGCTCTGGATACGGGCCACTCGACTCTACGGACTCATCCGAAGGCAGAGCTGAGAGTGAGTGGCGAGTAGGCAGAGGAGTGGCCTGAGGCGAGGAGTACGTGAAGCCGAAGCGCTGAAGGACCTGCTGCACCATGTGTGACTGAGTCAGGGTAATGGTGCGGCGTGCTCTGTCCCGGGTGATCTGCAAGCCAAGGTAGCTGCGCAGTTCTCCCATGTCTGTGCACGTGTGTCGCTTCTGCAGCTCGGACTTCACGTAGGCGAGTCCAGCAGTGTCAGCTGTGGCAAAGACCAGTCAGGCACTGTGCTCAGACCAGCGGAGAGAAATGTGCTTTGTTCTGTGCTCCAGTCGCTGCTCTCGACACAAGGCCAGCATGGCCTTGTTGTCTACGTACAGGACTAAAGGAGAACGAGGCGGCTCTCCATGGCCGGTCAGCAAGTAGGTGAGCCAGCGAAGCTCCTGGGCACCCATAGCCCTGGCGTAGATCTCAGCCTCACAAGTGGAGCCGAGAACAGAAGACGAGCGGGTAGCCCGCCACGAAAAAGAGCCGGAACCAAGACTGAAGGTGTAACCCTGTCACGACCGCTGCGTAGCCTGGTCTTCAGCCCAAGAAGCGTCCGCGTGCCCAGTGAGGACCACTGGACTCCGCCCTCCAAGCACTAGCCCCATGCCCGACGTACTGCACAAGTAGCGCAACACCCTCTTCGCTACAGCCATGTGCTCTGGTCGGTGTCTCCCAGGAGCAACATAGCGTGCGAGAATGCTAAGAGGGTATGCAAGGTCAGGTCGTGTGCAGGTCATCAGGTACATGAGGCAGCCAACAAGCTCTGGATACGGGCCACTCGACTCTACGGACTCATCCAAAGGCAGAGCTGAGAGTGAGTGGCGAGTAGGCAGAGGAGTGGCCTGAGGCAAGGAGTATGTGAAGCCGAAGCGCTGAAGGACCTGCTGCACCATGTGTGACTGAGTTAGGGTAATGGTGCGGCGTTCTCTGTCCCGGGTGATCTACAAGCCAAGGTAGCTGCGCAGCTCACCCAGGTCAGTGCACGTGTGTCGCTTCTGCAGCTCGGACTTCACGTAGGCGAGTCCAGCAGTGTCAGCTGTGGCTAAGACCAAGTCGTCGATGACACGAGGATGTAGAACGGCGGCAGAGAGGTGTCGGTGCGCAGAAACAGCGACGGGTCGGCAGTAGAAGGAGAAAACCCAAGTGCCGCAAGCATAGTCCTCAGTGTGTTGTGCCACTCACGTGGCGCCTGGCGGAGACCGTAGACTGGACGCCGGAGACTCCATTGGGTACCAGGAGGGAAAGACCCAGTGAAGCCAGGTGGGCGACGCAGCCAGATCTCCTCGTGCAGGCTGCCCTGCAAGAAAGCTGTGCTGAATTCGAGAGAGTGGAGCTCGTAGTCACGGTGAGCATTAATGTGCAGCAGTACTTGAAGAGTGGTCATCTTCGGGGTGGGGGAGAGTGTTTGAAAGTAGTCAACTCCCTGCCGCTGACTGAAGCCACGAGCCACGTAACGCGCCTTGAAGACAGGCGGAGAACCCGGCGGCCGCTTCACCCTGAAGATCCACATGCCACTGACGATGTTCGCCCCAGGAGGGGGGACAGCGTCAACGTAGGTGCATGTGGACTTCCAGGAAGCCATCTTTGCATCCATAGCTGCCTGCCACTGAGAGGAGTAGGGACCCTCTATCGCCTCCGCGTAAGAGCGCGGAGTCGGGATGTCAAGTGCATCCGGGTCTCCCTCAGGGGTAAACAGTACGGACACGAGATGAGGTGAAGCAGCTGCTTAGCACTGGAACTCCTCCTGCCTATCCTCAAGGACGTCCGTGCCAAGGGCACACTCACCCCCGACGGACGGAGGACAGACAGATTCTGACTCAGCGACAAGACTAGCAGCGTAGTCTAAGCGACAGCGAGCAGCAAAGTTGACGAGCTCAGTAACGAGAGCAGATGCAGCAGTAGACTCGAAAGAAGGGTCAGTGACAATAGTAGCAAGGAGACGCGTGAGAGTAGGACTGGCAGCACGAAGAGAGTCCGACTCAGGGCCGGCAAGTGCAGGAAGAGAGGATTCAGGAGGGGAAGGAAAAGGGGCACGCAGAGGAGCAGTAGACGGACGCAGAGACATCCGGTGCGTGCCAGGGACAGGAGGAGGACGCTGGCGCGAACCGCGACCACTAGCGCGAGCAGCTCTAACAGGCTACGCAGGACGAGACGCAGGCTCACGACGCTCAGTAAGACCTCCAGTAGGACCAGCGTAGGGAGAAGGAGCAGGCAGAGGGGAGGCAAGCTGTAGCTGTGACTGTGACGCGACAGGCTGTGGACACTCTAAGGGAGGAGGAGGACCAGTAGAAGGAGGAAGACCAAGAACCTGCTGCAGGAGTAGAACAAAGTACGGACGAGGCCGCGTGACAACGCCAGAAGCAGAAGGGACAGCACCAGTACCCTCAGCAGGAGCACCCGCTCCAGTAGCACCTCCAGCAGCACCAGGAGCACCCCCAGTAGGAACACCAGCGGTAGTCTCAGCGCCAACACCCTCAGCAGCACCAGCTCCAGTCGGACCCGTAGGCCCAGCAGCTCCAGTACTCCCAGTACGAGCACCTCCGGGACCCGCGACCGCAGCACCCTCAGCAGCCGAAGAACCTCCAGCACCAGCTGTACGGCGCCAGCGCCGGGCAAACCACTCGCGCAGCTCCTGTGGAGAGAGTGGCTCCCGGCGAGAAGAAGCACCCGGAGAACCTCCAGGCGGAGCACCTCCACCCCCAGCACCCCTAAGCGTAGCACCTCTAGGCTCAGCACCCCCAGGCGTAGCACCTCCAGGCTCAGCACCCCCAGGCGTAGCACCCCCAAGCTCAGCACCCCTAGGCTCAGCACCCCCAGGCTCAGCACCCCCAGACGCAGTACCCCCAGGCTCAGCACCCCCAGCCTCAGCACCCCCAGGTCCAGCACCCCCAGGCTCAGCACCCCCAGCAGCACCAGAGTCACCAGTGAACTCGACAGGTCCGACTGCGTCTACCTGGGACACACCTGAAGGGGCAGGACCATGAGGGGGGAGGGAGTCTACCTGGGGGGGACCTGGTACAAGGAAGAGCGGGGGTGGGGGGAGGGACGAAGTGCGGTAGGGGAAGAGGCGGTAGTAGGGGACCGACTCGTCAAACGTGACGTCCTGGGAGGACAGAACACGTCGAGAGGTGGGGTGGTAGAACTGCCACCCAGGCGCGTCAGGGGGGAACCCCAGGAAGACGCAAGGAGCAGCACGAGGGGACAGCTTGTCCGCAGACAAGTCGCGGACAAACGCCCGAGATCCCCAGACCCGGAACGCCGACGCATCGCCAACCTTCCCCGTCCACAGTAAGGCTGGGGAGGTCTCCGGCCTGGAGACCCTGGGGTGGAGGTTGATCTGATGCGCCGTGTACCAGACCGCAAACGACCACAGAAAATGGGGGGCAGCCACATGCATCATAGACGTACGAGCGACGTCCATGACCATGCCAATGCGGCGCTCAGCAATCCCATTTTGCTGCGGAGAGTCCGGAAGCGTGAAGGTCTGACGGATGCCTCGTGCGCGACAGTAGGCTCGTAGTAGGTCAGAGGAAAACTCTCTGCCTCTGTCTGAGTGCAGACGCAGAACAGGAAAGTCCGAGCCAAAGCTCCACCTGAGCTGGAGACGAGCCGCGCGGATCCAGTCGATCAGCACCTCAGTGACATCACCCTTGCTGCGCAAGGGGAAGAGTGTGGTGTAACGCGAGTAGTCGTCAACAACGAGCAGGAAGTAGTGCTCGTGACCCTGTCCACGGATGCGGGATGGGCCCCACACGTCCATGTGAAGCGTCTGCAACGGGGCCACTGTCGGAGGAAACTAGGAGGAGTGAGGGGCAGCCCGCTGGCGCCCCTCGACACAGGGGACACAGGCAGGGCCAGGGCCCTGAGGAAGGGGAGGGAGGGACCGGGGAAGACCAGACACAAGAAGACGGGAGGCCATGCCTCTGAGCCGAACCAGAGAGGGGTGACCAAGACGGTGGTGCCAGAGGAGAGTCTCATGAGACAAGAGACGACACGAACAGGGGGCAGACTCAGGACCAGACCTAGACGCTGCAGCAAACACCTGACCGGACGAAGCGACTCTACCAGACTCAGTAACGGGAGGAGACGCAGTGGTCAGTGTGTACAGGCTCGACCCCGGCTGACGGGTAAACGTAGCCAGGTGCCGGCCTGTGCTAGCCTCTATACAGTGCGTCACCCACTGGCGCGCAGGAGTGAACTGGTGTACTCCCCCATCCTGTAGGTCAGCACCACTCACCAGGTTCGTCGAGAACGAGGGGAGGTAGAGACCAGACAGGGTGCCAGAGCTAGCCGCCGGACACGGGAGGACTGTGGAGAAGCGAGACAGTACAGGACCCTCGGAGGGGTCAGCCAGAGACACCGCAACCGGCCGACTAAGCGGCGTGAGTGTGGTGCGGTCCCGAAAGAAGCAGCGAGACGCCCCAGAGTCAAGAGTGAAGGTGAGGGAGGCCGAAGCCGACGTAGTACCTGAGAGCGCAGACTCACGAGTACCTGAGGACGCAGAGACACTAGCACCTAGAGCAGAAGCGTCGCAAGCACCTAGGGCAGCAGACTCAATGCCCGGATCGGGCGGGAAACAGCGGTAGCAGTCACCCTCATCACTATGAGACACACCATACATGGCAGAGAGAATAGCATCAAAGTCAAGATCAAAGATGGCAACACCCGCCCTAGACAGCTCGCCCTAGCGAGGAATCTCTGAGGCCTCCGGGAACTGGTGACGCCACGCGTCCGTCAGGCGGCCAAAGCAGCGCTGGGTGGGGTGCGGACCCCCACACTGCTCACCCGCTCGGTCGCCGGTGCGCAGGACGTAGGTGCACGGACCAAAACCCCCACCCCGCTGGCGTGCAGTGTACCACTCACGGAGCTGCTGAGGAGACAGGGTCTCACGACCGCGCTGCTGGTGCTGGCGCACGCCACTACCGGAGCCACTCCTCTGTGAAGGCCCGCGACCAGCTCCACCGCCACCCCCACCGCCTCCGCCACCTCCGCTACTGCCGCCGCCTCCACCGCCGCCTCCACCGCCACCTCCACCGCCGCCTCCTCCGCCACCTCCGCTCCCACCGCCACCGCCGCCGCCGCCTCCGCCTCCACCGCCGCCACCGACCCCCCCACCCGCACCTCCACTCCCACCGTCACCCCCACTACCCCCACCGCCTCCACCTCCACCTCCACCGCCCGCTCCTCCAGCTCCCTTGCCCCCCTTGCCCTTGCCAGGGCGGCGTCTCCCGCTAGGGGCAGACGCCGCACCGACCGACTCAAGACCAAGGAGGTCGGCCATAGCAGCAGAGGCAACAGAGGGCAAAAGGGGGGAGGGGGAACACCCCTCAAAGATGGGGGTGCGCGGGTCACCTCGAGAGGCTCCTACAGCGACTATACTCTTCTCCGCTGCTAAGAGGGCCTTCTCGAGGAGATCGACAGTGAGTGTGGTGGGACAGACTGAGAGAAAGTGGTCCCCGAGTACTCGAAGGGAGTCAAGGAGGCGAGTGACTAGGAAGTACAGAGTGTTGTACATGGGGGGGGGGTTCGCGGTGCAGAAGTTAGCAGGAAGTGCAGCGCGGTAGCGAGTGTCACTAGTGCGGAGGTGCGTAATGAGGTCAGCAACGGTGGGAAAGGCAGCAAGGTCAGGGAAGAGGTACGACAGCATGAGACGGCTCAGTGCAGCAGTGGAAGGGGAGGAGTAGCGCGCGAGTACAGCGTCGTACAAGGTCTGAGGACTCTTGTACTGACTTAAGTGCGCACGCTCGGAGGTAGGGAGGTGGCGACGCACAGCAAGACGTGCAGCAGCATCGCGCGTGGCCCACTGGGAGCGAACAGTGGCGTCAGCATCAGCAGCAGGGGCAGGGGAAGCGCCAGAGGTGAGGTCAAAGAGAGAGAGGCCGTCCGCCCTATCGCACTGTAGGAACAGCTGTAGGTCATCTACCCAGACCTCAAAGTCAATGGCCCGACCCTCAGCGTCAAAAGCGAGGACACTAGGGGTAGCCATGACAGTAGGAGACCAGCACTGCAAGCAGTAGGGGAAGGGCACGCAATGACAGAGGGTCTGTGCTCACCGGACAGGGCTGCTCGGGCGGCTCAGCTGCAGGGCGGCTCGACAGCTGGGCGGCTCGGCGGTTGGGCGGCTCGGCAGCTGGGCGGCTCGGCGGCTGGGCGGTCGGCTGCATGGCGGCTCGGCTGGTGGGTGGCCGGGCGGCTCGGCTGCAGCGCGGCTCGGCGGCGGGGCGGCTTGGCTGCTCTGCTGCTGGGCGGCTCGGCTGCTCTGCTGCTGGGCGGCTCGGCTGGGCTGCTGAAGTAGGGCGGCAGGGCCGCTGCAGAGGAGCGGCGGGGCCGCTGCAGAGAGGGCGGCGGGGCCGCTGGATAGGGCGGCGGGGCCGCTGAAGAGAAGCGGCGGGGCCGCTGCAGAAGGACGGCGGGGCCGCTGGGTAGGGCGACGGGGCCGCTGCAGAGGAGCTACGGGGCCGCTGCAGAGAGGGTGGCGGGGCCGCTGGATAGGGCGGCGGGGCCGCTGCAGAGAAGCGGCGGGGCCGCTGCAGAAGGACGGCGGGGCCGCTGGGTAGGGCGGCAGGGCCGCTTCAGAGGAGCGGCGCGGCCGCTGCAGAAGGGCAGAGGGGCCGCTGGGTAGGTCGGCGGGGCCGTGAGATAGGGCGGCGGGACCTTGTGGTAGAGTGGCGGGGCCGCGAGGTAGGGCGGCGGGGCCGCCAGGTAGAGTGGCGAGGCCGCGCGATGGGGCGGCGTGGCCGCGAGGAAGGGCGGCGGGGCCGCTAGGTAGGGCGGCGGGGCCGTGCGATGGGGCGGCGGGGCCGCGAGGAAGGGCGGCGGGGCCGCTAGGTAGGGCGGTGGGGCCGCGCGAAGGGGCGGCGGGGCCGCGAAGGGGCGGCGGGGCCGCGCGATGGGGGGGGGGGGGGGGGGGGGGGGGGGGGCGGGGCCGTGAGTAAGGGCGGCGGGGCCGCTAGGTAGGGCGGCGGGGCCGCGCAATGGGGCGGCGAGGCCGCGAGGTAGGGCGGCGGGGCCGCTAGGTAGGGCGGCGGGGCCGCTAGGTAGGGCGGCGGGGCCGCTAGGGCGGCT